TGGAGTGCAATGGCATGATCTCAGCTCACTGCAACCTCTGCCTCCTGGATTCAGGCGATTCTCCTGCCTCAGCCTCCCGAGTAGCTGGGATTATAGGTGCCCACCACCACGCCCAACTAATTTTTGTATTTTTAGTAGAGATGGGGTTTCACCATATTGCTGAGGCTGGTCTTGAACTCCTAACCTCAGGTGATCCACCATCTTGGCCTCTCAGAGTGCTGGGATTACAGGTGTGAGCCACTGCGCCAGACCTGAATTGATGTCATATTGCCTTTTAGATTTCATGGCTTTAAAAAAAAATTGTTTTGAAGTAGTTTGTATTTTGCCTTTTACAATGTTTTATAATCTGTAGCTGAACTTTCTATGGGAAGGACAAGTCAAGAATTCATTTTTACTTTTCATATGACTATAGCTATTTATTTTGTTTCTAACATAGATCTATGATCGAATTCTGTCAATTTCCTCTCGAGAGGGTGAGACGATTGAACTGAATAAGCCTGTCATGGCAGAGGGCAATGTAGAAGTTTGGCTTAATTCTCTCTTGGAAGAATCTCAGTCCTCGTTGCATCTTGTAATTCGCCAGGCAGCTGCAAATATTCAAGAAGCAGATTTCCAACTAATGGAATTTCTTTCATCCTTCCCTGCTCAGGTGAGTGTTTTGAAACTGAAAAGTATGTTTTATAAAATAGTCATCTTAAATCTCAGACATTACCTATTGTAAGCTTCACAAATGGCTGTAATTTAACTCTAGACCAGTATTAAGATTTTCATAAGGACCCATTAAATATGCATAATCTTAAAGATTTCAACTACAGATTATATGGTCATATATTTATAGACTTAATTGTGTATTTGGGTTATAGATATATTTGATGTATTGTCTTTAACTTAAAACAGTTTTTTCCCTACTCAATGTTGGATGTAACAGTGTACAAAAATCATGAAAATGTACTGAAAATTGAAAAATATACTAAAAATATGAAAAATAGATTTCAGTATTAAAATACAGGAAACAATGTTTGCTTAGTTACTGTGATCAGTAAAAGTTTGGTGAGCATCCACTCTGTCTCAACATCGTGATAGTTTGGGTAAAGCAAGTTTCAGACATTCTTTGCCTGCAAGCAACTTAAAATCTATCTAGGGAGAAATGTGACTTCCACATAAATGACTTAAAATGATAAGAAATAGAGTTTCCATTGGCTATGAAAAAAGGCATCAACGTTGATGTAATCATGGCTTTATACTTGCATAACAATCACTATTATTGATCATGTTGTAATTTCTATTTAAATACATAAATATGTCATACAAATTCATAGAGCTTTTTTACTTCCATAAGGTTGGATTATTAGGAATTCAAATGATATGGACACGGGATTCAGAGGAAGCCCTTAGAAATGCCAAGTTTGATAAGAAAATCATGCAGAAAACGAATCAGTCTTTTCTGGAGCTACTCAATACTCTGATAGACATCACCACGAGGGACCTGAGTTCCACAGAACGAGTGAAATATGAGACTCTGATTACTATCCATGTGCACCAAAGGGACATCTTTGATGACCTGGTAAATTCTTTATAAATGCTGTGGCGTATAGAAAAAAACAAATTCTAGACACCATCTGTGTTTACCTAGTAGAACTAGTTTGATTGAATTCAAGGAAAAGATTAAATTCTGGCAAAGAATCATGTTCGTAGTCAGGGCTTGTTGTCAGCTTTGTTCTCAGTCTTAACTGAATGTCAGTCATATTATGATGATATTGAGGCAATTAGACTTTATTAAACAAATTTTTAATGTGATGATTTTTAATGTTAAAATTGTCATGTAATATCTGAGAAGCCTTTATACATCTTTTTTTTTGCTTTTTACCTGTTAATTGAATATCACTAGTTTCTTGCTACAGAAATTATTAGTAATAATGCTTAGTAGAGTTGTTTAGGACTTCCCTTAAGGCTTTTAAAAAATCACATTCTTAACAAGTTTTGATAAATTTCATGTCATTGATTGGAAATGGTCTTTCCTAATATAGCTTCTGACATTCAGGTGTCATACAGATTTTTGATTTTAAAGAGAGAACAGGGTGGGAAAAGAGAGTACAGGGTGGAAGAAGAGAGTTTTGTAGCTACAGAAAATGGGAAATAAAAAGAAATGAAATTTGTCCTCTACTACAAAATACATTCGATAAGAGGCAAAAAGCTCTTATTTTCATAATAATTTTCTGGATTTGTCTCACCCCATTATGTGAAAATGATTATGAAAGATCGATTTTGATGTAATGGAAATAAAGGCAGCACATCCAAGCTATTGTGTGCTAACCTCCTGTCTTAATAGCTAAGCACAATACTTGCCTCTCTGAGAAATAAAGGGCTCAGGCTAATTTTAGACTTCTTAGTTGTCAAAGAAAAATGATGAAAGTGGCTTAAAATTTTGCTTAAAAAATCTGGACAAAAGGATTGCCAGTAAATTACCTGCCATTTAGATGTTAGAAATTTTGGCCCAGTGTAATTCTTGGGAAAAATAATTAATGGATTAAAAAAACTCAACAGTGTACTTTGTTATAGTCTTAAGGGATGTCTTTTTCCTAATGAGATTGTTTGGTTCTGTCTTTGTATACCAAAACATGCTTTTCATGGATTAGATTTCATGGTTAGGACTATGGCATTAGGCGTTTAAGGGTGAAATTTTAGAAATGAATATCTTATTATTAAAATATGTAAAGCCACTTACATTGGAGGGCCATAATTAGGAGTTTCTCTTGAGTTTTCTTATTCCCATCTTCTAAGTATTTTTTTATCGATCAGTAAATGAGTGGGTTAGCTGGTGATGTAGTTGACACCTCTGAAATAGTTGGGTCGTCTTTGAGTTTTATTTATTTCACTTTATGATCTACATGAATGCTAATGTGTATATTTAATGAGTGATTCTCATCACAGCTCTAACATACTCCTTTTGAATTTCAGTGCCATATGCATATCAAGAGCCCTATGGACTTTGAATGGCTGAAACAGTGCAGATTTTATTTTAACGAAGATTCTGACAAGATGATGATTCACATCACAGATGTGGCTTTCATATACCAGAATGAATTTTTAGGCTGCACTGACAGGCTTGTCATAACTCCACTTACAGACAGGTGATGGAACCCTTCTCCCCACCCCCCCTCCATTTTTATTCTTTCGAATTGCCCAGAGGATTTTTGCTTAAAGTCTCTCAGGGTTTATCGGCTCTTTTATACTAAAATTTAGTATTTTTAGCTTTGAAATTTAGTATTTTTAGCTTTCCACCTGTGTCTTCACATGGGATTTAGGTTTGTGACTGACACAGACCTTGCTTCTTCTGCCTTCAGTCTTGTAGAGGCAGAGTTTAAATGTATAAACTACATGTGGATGCGGATGGGCAAGAAAAGGAATGAATTGCTGTGTGTTCTCAGGTGCAAATCATGGTGGGCCTTGGGGGCTGCTTGAGTATCTTGTTCTTACTGAGAGACAATTAAGTTTTTTTTTTTTTTAAAGCAGGAAGGAAATTGAGTATCAGTGCAGGTAAAAGTGGGAGAGGCTACTGGCCAGGCCTCCAGAGTGTTAACTTTTCCCTCTGCCTGTAATTTACCAGTTGTGTTTGTGATACCTGCCACTGCAACCGCCCTAGACTCAGTCTCCTCATTTGTAAGATGAGCTAAGTCAGGGTGCAGTCCCCAACCTTTCTGGTACCGGGGACTGGCTTTGTGGGAGACAATTTTTCTACGGAGCAGAGGGTGGGTGATGGATTTGGGATGATTCAAGCACATTCCATTTACTGTGCACTTTATTTCTATTGTTACATTGTAATAGATAATGAACTAATTATACAATTCACCATAATGTAGAATCAGTAGGAGCCCTGAGCGTGTTTTTCTGCTACTGGATAGTCCCATCTGGGGGCGATGAGAGATGGTGACAAATCATCAGGCACTGGATTCTTGTGAGGAGCGACCACCCTAGATCCCTTGCATGCACAGTTCACAAGAGGGTTCATGATAAAAGTTGCGCTCCTATGAGAATCTAATACTGCCGCTGATGGGACAGGAGGCAGAGCTCAGGCAGTCGTGTGAGCCATGGGGAGTGGCTGTAAATACCGATGAAGCTCCGCCCACTTGCCTGCTGCCCATCTCCTGCTGTGTGGCCAGGTTCCTAACAGGCCATCGACCAATACTCTGTCCTCATTCAGCTCCAATACTGGTCTGTGGCCTGGGGGTTGGGGACCCCTGAGCTGTGTTTTCTCTAAGGGTGCTTGCAGGGCTAATATTCTGTGATTTGGTTAGTCTAATTTGAACTTTGTGGTATCAACTACATTGTATATTTTTGCTTCAGGGATATACTGAATGCTTGTTATGGTCAAACGGCTTGCATTAATCATTCCATATTTTATTCATATAACATAATATTACATTGTGCTGCATAATTATCTACAATGATGATTTTTCAATTAGAAGTAATGTGCATTAAAAACTGGATTTCCGAAGTAGGAATTTTTCATAAAATGCTTATGTGATTATTTTATGTCTCCTGCCTTTCAAGCCTCCAGCACTCCCTTGTCTTCCTCTGTCTCCACCCAAGGCTTTGTTTCCTGTTTGTTTTTGAGGTGGAGTCTTGCTTTGTCGCCCAGGTTGGAGCACAGTGGTACAATCAATCTTGGCTCACTGCAACCTTGACCTCCTGGGTTCAAGCTGATTCTCCTGCCTCAGATGCCCGAGTAGCTGGGATTACAGGCATGTGCTACCACACCTGGCTGATTTTTGTATTTTTAGTAGAGACAGGATTTCACCATGTTGGCCAGGCTGGTCTCGAACTCCTCACCTCAGGTGACCTGCCTGCCTTGGCCTCCCAAAGTGCTGGGATTACAGGTGTGTGCTTGTTTCCTGTTTTATTGAGAAGACAGATGTGCTCATCTCCATCACCATGTGCCTTAACCTGGGTGTCTGTTCTCATGCAGCCCGTTCTCTCCAGATTCTTCGAATGGATGGTCCATGCTGTTGTCCAAAGCCAACATGCCCACTGACCCCAGGTTTTCTTCTCTGGGAGCATCATCCATTTTTCACTTTCTACTGAATCTTTTTTATCAACACACAGACATGTTGTGATTGCCTCCACACAGCAAGCCCTACCGTGATTGGCCCGGTTTCCTTCCCACTTCCACGCTCCCTTCAAAACCCCTCAAAAGCAGTTTCTCTCTGCTTGGTTTTTCTTGAGCTCACTTCATTCAGGCTCTCAGTGTTAATTTTCTATTTCTGCCATAACAAATTGCCACAAATTTAAAACCTTAAACAACACAAATGGGTTCTTTTTGTAGTTCTGTCCAGCAGAAGTCTGATGCGATCTCACAGAACTAAAATCAGGTGCTGCAGGGCCGTGTTTCTTCCCGGAGACTGAGTTCTGTTTCCTGCTCTTCCAGGTTGTTGGCAGAAGACCTTTCCTCCTGGTCATAGGACCAAGGTCCCCATTATCTTAAGTCAGCTCAGGGCTGTTCTAGCCTCTGAAGGCTGCCACGTTCCCTGACCCTAACTCCTTCCCTCATCTTCAAAGCCAGCAATGGTGGGTCAGGTGCCTTTCATTCTCTGAATCTCCCCTCCTTCTTCTGTCTTGTGTCTCTGACCCACTCTTCTGCCCATCTCTTCTGCTTCTAAGGACTCATGAGATTAGGTTGAGTCCACTTTATTATCCAACATAATCCCTCCTTCTGAAGGTCATTAACATTAATGACATCCACAAAGTCCCTTTGGCTGTGGGAGGTAAGATGTTTACAGGTTGCAGGGGTTAGAATGCGGGCATCTTTGGGGGACCATTATTTTGTCATACTTTTCCCATCACTCTAATAGAACAGCTCTTCTGAAAGTCACTCAGACCTGTTGCTAAATCCAGTGGTCATTCCTGGATCTCGTGTTTCTTGAACATTCAGCTGCATGGATGCGGTTACCATTCTCTCCTTTTTGATACACTTCCATCACATGGTTTCCAGGACACGACACTCACCTGGTTCCTCCTAATGGTCTGGTTGTCCTTTTGTACCTGTTCCTACTGGTTCCTCTTCATCTTTCTGACCTCTAAACATAGAACTCCTAGGCTCTTCTCTTCTCCACTTCTACTCGTTCCTTAGGTGACCCCACTTGGCTTTAAAAATCCTAATCTCTGCCTCAAGCCAGAGTTTCTTTCCCGAACTCCAGAGACACGTATGTACCTACATGACATGTCCACTTGGATGTTACAGGGTATTTAACCTTAGCGTGTTTGGTCAGCCTCACAAAGTGCCCTCCTGTCATCTTCGTCTTCTTCATGCTAGCAAGTGACCATTCCGTTTTATTACAGTGCTGGGAGGAAGTGTGATATTCAGAATAATGGCCCCCGAAAAGATGTCCATGTCCTAAACCCTGAAGCCTGTGAATACGTCACCTTCCAGATGGGCAATCCAGCACTCCCTGTAGTGACCCTGAAGCCTTTCCTTCTTTCTCACCTCACTATCCAATCTACCAACAATCTGGTCATCCCTGCTTTCAGGCTACATCGAGAATGTGACCATTTTCACCCCTTTGTCGTTACTGATACAACTCCAATGACTGGAAGAAACATCAGGGTCCTTTGTTTTGTGGATTGGACATGGACACATGTGGAGTGGTTTCAAGGAATGCAAAGTTTAATAGGCAAGAAGGAAGGAAAACGCTCCCCCGTACAGAGACAGAGGGAGGGGGGCTCCGAGTGGAGAGAGAAAAAGCCCATGTGGGGCAGAAAACAGTCGGTTACATTAGGAGGCTGGAGGAGGCTGTGTCTGATTTGCATAGGGCTTAGGGTATTGGTTTGACCAGGTGTGTCATTTATGTAGTCTTTGGAAAAAACTGGCCCTTCCACCCTAGCTCTTTAATATGCAAATGCAGGTCGCCATGATGTCCTGCACAAGTGGAGTTTTCTGGAGGTGGCCATGATGTTTGTGACAGGGAGAAGAGGGCGGGAATTGCCATCCTGGGTGAACTGTTTCTAATCACCAACATTTGCATATCAAAGCTTGCTAGCCTGGCTCTTTAAGCCACTTTTCTGTTAGAAAAGAAATATTTTGGGAGCTGTTTTTATTAAAAAGCTTATTATTCTTCTTATTAAAAGAATTAATTCTGTTTTATTAAAAGAACCTGCTGAGAACTCCCTTTACCCTCTCTATCTGCCTACGATTATTCCTTAATCACTTCTATATCATTACTACTCTTTTTTTGTTGTTGTTTTTGAGACAGAGTCTCACTCTCTCGCCCAGGCTGGAGCACAGTGGTGCAGTCTCCGCTCACTGCAACCTCTCAGGTCCAAGTGATTCTCCTGTTCAGCCTCCTGAGTAGCTTGGACTACAGGCGCGAGCCACCATGCCTGGCTAATTTTTCCATTATTAGTACAGATGGGGTTTCACCAGGTTGGCCAGGCTGTTCTTGAACTCCTGACCTCAGGTGATCTGCCCTCCTTGGCCTCCCAGAGTGCTGGGATTATAGGTATCATTACTACTCTTATCCAGCCCACTGCAGTCTCTGACCTGGATCATTGTGATAATGTTGTGAGAATATGATAGTGATTACTGGCTTCCCTGCCTCTGCTGTTGTCCCTGTACAGTCTTTTCTCAGTTCACACACCAGAATGTAAGTCAGATCCTTTGCCTCAGAACTTCCCCGATGGTTCCATCTCATGCAAAGGAAAAGCCAGCGTCCTCCTGTGGGCCTGCGAGGCCTGGTACAATCTGGCCTCTGCTTCTTCTTTGCTCCTCTATCCTCACTCAGCTCTGGCCACCTGCTGTTTGCGCAGCTGCAGCACAGTCTTGCCTCAGGGCCCTAGGACTTGTTATATGCTTGGCCTGGAATCCTCTTCCTTCAATAGTGGCATAGCTTTCTTCCTTCTTCCTTTAGGCCTCTGCTAGAGGGTCACCTCGAGGGCCTTCTAACCTCTCACGATCTCCAAATCCCTAACCCTCTTACTCAGCTTTATTTTCCCTGTTTCTTATTTTTAATTAATCTATTTTCTTTTTTAGAATGTAAGATCCTTGGTGAATGGGCATCATGTGATTTGTTCGCTAGAATTGTTCTGTCACATAACAGGTGCTAAATAAATAGTTCTTGAATAAATGAAAGAAATGATTATTTCCAAAATTACATCTTAATGGTGAAAAAGTTAAATGGTACAGAAGAACGTGAAGTAGAATGTGTGGGAGGGAAACTTTTCTATTTTTCAAAATGATCAGCAGTGTTCTATCCCTCTGAAAACTGGAGGCTTAGATATCAAAATCCTTTTACAGTTTCACATATAGGTACCATAGTTTATAGTCTTTTCTGCAACCTCATTCTTCCACTGTGCTCATTATCTTGTATAGCTTTTTATGTCAAAAAACCTAAGAACTTTAGAAGCAAAGCAAGTACTTTTAAGCACGCCAGTGAAGAGATTCTGAAGTTCGTTTGTCTATTTCACCCTAAATGCCCACTTGTTTATTTTTCTTTAACCAACTTGATTATGTGGGAAGTGAGTTATTAATTTTTGCTAGTTACTGAGCTTCCACTGCAAGATTTGCTTCCCTTTTGCAAGAGAAAGCTCCTCATTGGAATTAATACTTTAAAAACGCCAAATACTGGAGGCACTGACATGTTGTCAGCCCTTTGCTGAGTGACCTGTGAATTCAACAGCTGTGGCAGCTCCCTGGATTCTGGGAAACTCAACGCCACGTGGACAGAGTTGCAGACATTTCAGATGATAAAATAGCCATTATAATATAATAACAAAGAGAACTTTTCTCCAAAAACTCACAGTGTTTTTAATGAAGACTAGAGTTGCCCTGACTGCTGCTGTCACTTAAGACAAAAGTTGGAGGAAATTGAGGGCTGATGGAGGCATCCTGTCTGCTTGATAAGAAATGTAGATGGGACTCGTACCTTTCTCTGACATTCTCATGGCTTCTGTGAGTTTTGCCTGAGTGTGGACCACTCGGCACTGCCCTAGCAGCTGTGTGGTCTTGAGCAAGACCCCTAACCTCCCTGATTCCCTTGGTTTGGAATCATTGTGTGGACTAGAGGTAATGTAAGTACCCAGCACAGGGTGTGACACAGAGCAAATGTTTATTATTATTATTCTTGCTATCACTGTTGCTTGTCATAATTGCTGATAACACTTTTTTTCTGGGAGGGATGGAGTCTCATGGAGTCTCAGTCACTCTGTCGCCCAGGCTGGACTGCAGTGGCATGATCCTGGCTCACTGCAACCTCCGCCCCCCGGGTTCAAGCGATTCTCCTGCCTCAGCCTCCCGAGTAGCTGGAATTACAGGCACGTGCCACCACACCCAGCTAATTTTTGTATTTTTAGCAGACATGGGATTTCACCATGTTGGCTAGGCTTGTCTTGAACTCCTGACCTCAAGTGATCCGCCTGCTTCAGCCTCTCAAAGTGCTGGGATTACAGGCGTGAGCCACTATGCCTGGCCTATGATAACACATTCTTTAGCAACCTTTCCTTTGGTTTCTCCTTAAGCACATCTTATAATCAAAGAGCCTGTAACTAAACCCAGTTCTCAAGGAAGAAATATACCCTGCTGATGCACAGGGAAACTTTTCAGCAGTTTAGAACCAATAGGAGTTGAAACCACTCCTGGTTTCCATGTGACAAAACGCACCAGCAGTGCTATGAATACTGAAGACAAACGCTAGTGATAGATTTGGTTAGTTCGAGTGTTAATGTGCCCTGGGTCATGAGGTTGGTGGCTTTTTATTTGGCATCAGAGTCCCATTCAAATTCCTGTAGTTGTTAGGGCAGGAAAGACCAGATGAGAATGTATGGCTGAATCAGCACAAGTCATTTATTCAACAAATTATACTACAAGATGCCAGGGGTTAGGCAGGCAGTTGAGGGTACAAGCGTGAACCAGACCTAGCTCCTGACTGCAGAGAGTTTATAGCAGTTTAATTGGAAGGTAGAAAACTAAGTGGAGTTGACCACAGGCAACTAAAACACAAAGTTCAAACTCTGCTCATGAATGGAGATAGTTTTGAAAATAGCCAATAGATAGACTAGAAGGGAAAGCAGAGAAGGGAGGGAAGGAAGGAGGTACACCCACATGTAGAACTCTCTAGACACACAGGGAGACGCTGTGACAGATCCGTGCTTGTCACCGAAAGGCAGTTTGGGCACCAGTGTAGCAGTGGGTCTGAAGCCCCACGTAGCCGAGTCAGGGAGAAGTCACCAGGCATGCCCGCCTGCTTTTCATGTCAATAGGATCAATCTGTTTGAAGCAACTTGCCGCTTCTTCAGTTTCAACATAAACCCACTGATCTCGGTTGTAACGAGGGTCTGCATAACAGAGCAGCCGAGTGATCAGAGTTGATGGAGATGTATTTCCTTTTTTTTTGTTTAGTATTTATTCTTTTTTTTCAGCTTTTAATTTTTAAGTTCAGGGGTAGAAGCGCAGGGTTGTTACATAGGTAAACTTGTGTCATGAGGGTTTGTTGTACAGATTATTTCGTCGCCCAGGTATTAAGCCTAGTGCCCATTAGTTATTTTTATTTCCCAGATAGGGTGGGCTCGTCCTAGAGCTGGGAAGCAAGAGGACTTGGCTTGTCACCAGACAGGCTGGCCGAAGTCTCAGCTCTCGTGCCACAGCCTAAGAAAAGTCGCTCAATCTCTGTGAGCCTTTCCCCTCAACTCTGTATAGGGGGGAAAGGAACAGTAGCTTCTTTCTGGGGTTCTCTGGAGATGAAACAAGATGATGTATGTGGAGCACACGTGGTGTCTGTTGCTGTTACAGACACTGCTCTGGAAGGGATGGCAGAAGTGCAACAGGGGAAGTAAGACCTGGGACTAAAAGGCAGAATCAAAGTGAGAGCAGACATCCTCCTGATTTCGTGCCCAGATCTTCTCCTCTGTATCGAGGCTTTGCATACATTCAGGTTTGAGTCATTTACTTGCCTTTATGGCACTTGATTCCAATAAAATTGAGAACCTGGAGCTACCCCCAGCTGGTTCGGTCAGTTTTCATTTCCACTGCTCAAGCTGGATAGTCATTTCATTTCCTTGGAAATCTTTTTCAAGTCCAGATGAATGCTTTATAGTTTGGCCATAAGAAAACGCTACACGGCACTACTTTATAATTTGTCTCCTTTGGTAACACCAGGGGGTGCTGGCTAACAAGTAATTCATCTGCAAGTTATCAGGTTAAACGTTTCCTTTGCAGGCATCCTTGTATTCTCTCACCAAATGTTTTATTTGTTAATCTCATCTGGTAAGATGCTGTGAAAGTGTGTGCAAGTTTAGGAGATGCCCACAGAAATAGATTCAAGATGGGATTATTTAGCAATATGTGTTTTAAATACCAACTACATTAATGGCCAACTTTTAAATTCAAATGGTGATTAATCTATTTGAAAGGATTCAGATCTGTTTAACAGAATATTATTATTATTTTTTTTTGATAGGGGTAGATTTTTGCGAAAAAGTTGCCAAATACATTTTGGAAATGCAATGTATTATTTTTATACCTGGAGATTCTCTCTGTATTATGATAAGAAAGCCTGAATAATGAAGCAGTAAGGAAGCCTGTTTAACCTTTCAGGTGTTTTTAAATGTATTTTATCATAGACTACCCCTCCTTTTCCTCAACATATGTTAACATTGATAAGGATAACTGTGTTTTAGGATGTAGTATGGGAAATGTTAGGTAAGGACAATGGCCTGTTTTTAAATCTTGTGTGGGTTTCATGCCACTGGGATGTCTCAGAAGTATTTCCAAGTGCCTGAGGACTGGTTCTAGGGATGTTTCTACCCTTGCAGATGTTACATCACGCTGGCTCAGGCTCTGGGAATGAGCATGGGGGGAGCTCCTGCTGGACCTGCAGGCACAGGCAAAACAGAAACCACGAAGGACATGGGGCGATGCCTTGGGAAATATGTTGTGGTTTTCAACTGTTCAGACCAAATGGATTTCCGAGGACTTGGACGGATTTTTAAAGGTATGGGTTATATTTTTTTATTTGATGAGAAATTTCAGCCAAGGTGGAATATTTTGCTAAAATTTGTTTTCAACAATTGGCCACATTTTAGAATCATTTTCAACTTTGTAAAATTTTTTGGAAAATCTTCAATCTTGCCAGGTGTGTGGACCACGTGTTACTATCTCCTGCCTTTTTTCAGATGTTCCTTTATCACTGCAGGTTGGGTGTTTACAGGTAAAGTGCCAAATTGTGAGCTGCTTTGAGTCACCTGAGGCGTACATAGATCTATTTGTTCCACTTTACTTTTGAATGAACTTACACCTGGTGCATTTTGGCAGCTACATAGTATCCTTTTTCTTGGTTTTCCCAAATTATTTACTAATTGGATTTTTTTTTTGGTTTAATTTCCTTTCTAAGGACTGGCACAGTCTGGATCCTGGGGCTGTTTTGATGAGTTTAACCGTATCGATCTACCAGTTCTCTCGGTTGCAGCCCAGCAAATTTCCATTATTCTGACATGTAAAAAGGAGCGCAAAAAGTCTTTTATTTTTACTGATGGAGATAATGTGACTATGAACCCTGAATTTGGGCTTTTCTTAACCATGGTAAGGAGCTGCTAGAAAAGCTACTGAATTTCAGTCTTCTTATCACAGTTTTCAGGCATCTCTCTGGTCATCTGCCCTCTATTTTCCTCAATGGAAATTGGGATTGTAACTTTACCTCCTGTTGAAAAGCCTATGGGGTTAAGCAAAGATCATATGAATAACTCATGACAGACTGTCCAGGTAAAAGGAGAATGAGTTTTTACATTACTCAATGTAAATGAGTTTTCTGGTTGTCATTCCAGATTTGTCATGTGTACGTAATGAATCTTTTAATATCATGCTGACGTGGGGTTGATTGCATCATTCACCCTTGGGTTTTATTTTCTGTGTAGAATCCTGGCTATGCTGGACGGCAGGAACTCCCTGAAAACTTGAAGATTAATTTCCGCTCGGTGGCCATGATGGTCCCTGACCGTCAGATTATCATAAGGGTGAAGTTGGCTAGTTGTGGCTTCATTGACAATGTTGTTTTGGCCAGGAAGTTTTTCACGCTTTACAAACTGTGTGAGGAGCAGCTTTCTAAGCAGGTATGCCATCCTGGAGGTCTTATGCACTTAGGCATGTTTCATTTTTCCATCCAGCAGAATGTTCTCTTTTTGAGAAATTCTAGACTGGGCTTGTTGACAAAGGATTTTATTCATACTAGGAAGAAAGGTGATTACTACAAAAATTTTATATGCATAGTTTTATTAAGAAGTACATTTAAATAAATTAATATTTATAGCATAGAAATAAAGTGAATATCATCTACACTGATTTAAGAGCCAAAGATTTATGGATATTAACATTGGCTGTTTATATCATTTATAGATTCATTGTCATATGTGTTATTTATTTTCATGATTTTTAGGAACCTCTCAATGATTTATTCTTCTCAATTCTAAGCCCAATTGAGTATTTGACTAAGCTTTGCTAACTGTCTGGTTTATATGTTACAATCTTTTTGCTAGTTTTCTCTACTGCTTAGGGTAGCAGGTTCAGGTATCGTGAGGTTTGTTTAATAGTTAAAAGTCATGGAATTAAACATATACTTCTGCATTCGTTATCTATTGCTGCATAACAGTCATGTAACAATCATAACACAATTTTGTGTCTTGTAACAGTGTACGTTTATTACTACATGGTGTCTGTGTGTCAGGAGTTAGCTGAATTGAGTCCTGCAGTTTATGTCTAACAAGGCTACAATCAAGTGTTGGCTGGGGCTGTGGTTTCATCTGATGCTCGAATGGGTGCAATCTACTTCTGAGCTCATTCATGTTGTTAGCAGAATTCTGGTAGTTGAGGGTGTAAGACTGAGGGCTTCAATTTCTTGTTGGCTATTTGCTGGAGACCTCCTCAGTTCCTACAGGCTGTGCATAGTTTCTTGCTATATGGGATTCCCCAAAATGACCATTCAAAGTCAGCAAGGAAAGTGGTTTCAGCAAAACGAGTGCTACAGTATAATCTAATGTGACCACATAATCACACACACATAATCACATACAACCTGTTGTCTCTGCTGTATTCTATTAGTTAGAAGAAGCAAATCACGGGTCCTGCCTACTCTCATATAGAATGACCACCAGGAGGTGGGTTTCATGCCACAATTTTCTACTACATATCAGTAAAAATTAGTAAAAATATGTGCTAAAAATGACACAGTGCAATAAACGTAAGATTATAACATGAGTAACATTTCCTAACATATATAACCTTTGCTCCATCTCATCACTCAGAAATCCATTTCAAACTTCTTTGAATCTGTATTACTTTTTTACACCCACAGATTCAACCTAATTACATTCACACTCAAAAGTTCTTTCCCTGTGAGTGTCCAGACATACACAGATTCTTCTGGCTCTGGCCGTTGAGCCCTTTCTGGTTTGTCTGACCCTAACATTTTGCCTTTAACATTCTTGGTTTCTTTTGCTTATTTGAGCCCTTACTCACTCATTCTTATTGTATTAGTCTGTTCTCATGCTGCTAATAAACACATACCTGAGACTGGGTATTTATAAAGGAAAGAGGTTTAATTGAATCACACTTCAGCATGGCTGGGAAGGCCTTAGGAAACTTACAATCATGGTGGAAGGGGAAGCAAACACATCCTCTTCACATGGTGGCAGGAAGGAGAAGTGCCAAGTGAAGAGGGGGAAAAACCCCTTATAAAACCATCAGATTTCATGAGAACTCACTGTCATGAAAGCAGCATGAGGGTAACCATCCCCATTATTAAATTAACTCTCACTGGGTCCCTCCAATGACATGTGGGGATTATGGGAACTAGAGTTCAGGATGACATTTGGGTGGGAACACAACCAAATCATATCATTCTGCCCCGGCCCCTCCAAGGTCTCATGTCTTCACAATTCACAATAAGTCATGCCCTTCCAACAGTCCTCCAAAGTCTTAACTCATTCCAGCATTAACTTAAATGCCTAAGTCCAAAGTCTCATCTGAGACAGGCAAGTCCTTTCTGTCTATGAGCTTGTAAAATCAAAAGCAAGTTAGTTACTTCCTACATACAGTGGGGTTACAGGCTTTGGATAAATACACCTGTTCCAAATGAGATAAATTGGCCAAAAAAAAGGGCTACAAACCCCACGCAAGTCAAAATCCAATGGGGCAATAATTAAACCTTAAATTTCCAAAATGATCTGCTTTGACTCCATGTCTCACATCTGGGTCATGCTGATGTAAGAGATGGGCTCCTAAAGCCTTGGGCAGCTCCACCCCTCTGGCTTTGCAGGGTACTTTCATGCTGCATTCGTGGCCTGATGTTGAGTGTCTGCAGCTTTCTAAGTGCACAGTACAAGCTGTCAGTGAATCTACCATTCTGGGGTCTGGAGGATAGTGGCCCTTTTCTCACAGCTCCACTAGGCAGTATCCCAGTGGGGACTCTTTGTGGGGGCTCCAATCCCACATTTCCCTTCTGCACTGCTCTAGCAGAGGTACTCCATGAGGGCTTCACCCCTGCAGCAAACTTCTGCATGGACATCTAGGTGTTTCCATACATCCTCTGAAATCTAGGTGGAGGTTCCCAAACCTCAATTCTTATCTTCTGTACACCTGCAGACCCAACACCATGTAGAAGCTGCCAAAGCTTGGGGCTTGCACCCTCTGAAGCAATGGCTTGAGCTACATGTTGGCCTCTTTTAGCCACAACTGGAGTGACTGGGATGTAGGGCACCAAATCCCATGCCTTCACAGAGCAGGGGGACCCTGGACCTGGTCCATGAAACCATTTTTCCTCCTTGAGCTCTGGGCCTGTTATGACAGGGGCTGCCTTGAAGATCTCTGAAATGCCCTGGAGATATTTTCTCAATTGTCTTGGTGATTAACATTTGAATCCTCATTACTTGTGCAAATTTTCTCAGCTAGCTTGAATTTCTCCCCAGACAATGGGGTTGTCTTTTCCACTGCATCATTAGGCTGCAAATTTTAAACATGTATGCTCTGCTTCTTCTTGAAAGCTTTGCCACTTAGAAATTTCTTCTTCCAGATACCCTAAATCATTTCTCTCAAACTCAAAGCTCCACAGATCTCTGGGGCAGGGGCAAAATGCCTCCAGTCTCTTTGTATAGCAACAATGACCTTTACTCCAGTTTTCAACAAGTTCCCCATCTCCACCTGAGACCACCTCAGCTGGATTTCATTTTCCACATAACTCTCAGTGTTTTGCTCAAAGTCATTCAACAAGTCTTTAGGAAGTTGCAAACTTTTTCATATCTTCCTGTCTTCTGAGCCTTTCAAGTCTCTAGGAAGTTCCAAACGTTTTCCCATTTTCCTATCTTCTTCTGAGCCATCCAAACTGTTCCAACCTCTCTGCCTGTTACCCAGTTCCAAAGTCACTTCCACCTTTTCAGGATCTTTATAGTGGCACCCTACTGTATGTGGTATCAATTTACTATGTTAATCTGTTCTCATGCTGCTAATAAAGACATACCTGAGACTGGGTAATTTATAAAGGAAAGAGGTTTAATTGAATCACAGCTCAGCATAGCTGAGAATGCCTCAGAAAAGTTACAATCATGGCAAAAAGGGAAGCAAACATGTTCTTCTTCACATGACATCAGGAAAGAGAGGTGCTGAGCAAAGGTGGGGAAAAGCCCCTTATGAAACCATCAGATCTTGTGAGAACTCACTATTGCAAGAACAGCATGAGGGTAACTGCCTACATGGTTCAGTTACCTGCACCTGGTCCCTCCCACAACACGTGGGGATTATGAAAACTACAATTCAGGATGAGATTTGGGTGGGGACACAGCGAAACCATATCACTTATCTTTCAAATAAATATTTTTTTCCGTGCTGTTTCTTGAATGGAAGAAACTTCCCTCAACCCTGGCTCCTGCTCTCATCTTCACTAACACTTCACTACTTCCCTCACTCCTACCACCCATGTTCACAACGTCATTGTGAAATGTAATAAGTCAATGTGTGCAAAATAATTGGACCCATACTGATCTCTTGGTGAACATTCTGTGACTCTCCCTTCATACCCACAGATTTAACTGAGTCCAACTCTGATAGGAAGTTTTCCATGATTAATTTTACTCACCAACACTTTTAAGTCATTGTTACTTTTGTGCAAGGTTATTCACATTTCTATTTTATTATCTTTATTAGAATTTAAATTCCCTGAGGGTGGAAACTCAATTTGAATATTTTTATGTGCTCCATCTTCCAATGACTAGTATTAAGTAAGACATATTGCTCCCAATTACCTTAGTGGATAACTGTGGTTTTTCCCCCCATACAGCTTTTTTTAAATTGTGGTAAAAGCATATAAAATTAAATTTACCATCTTAACCATTTGTAAATGCACAGTTCAGTGGTATTAAGTATATTCACAATGTTGTGAAATACATTTCTGTAACTTTTTCATCTTGAAAAACTGAAACTCTCTGTCCACTAAACAAAAACTTCTCTTTTTCTCCTCCCTTAGCTCCTGGTAAGTATCGTTCTACTTTCTGTTTTTATGAATTTGACTATTTCCAATACCTCATATAAATGAAATCATATAATATTTGTTTCCTTGTGACTGCCATATTTTACTTAGTGTAATGTAAGTTTCATTCATATTGTAGCATGTGACAGGATATCCTTCCTTTTTATGGTGAAATAATATTCTGTTATATGTTTATACCACTTTTGTTTATCCACTCATCTGTCAATGGATGTTTAGGTTGAATGGTGCTGCTATGAATATGTAGATGTCTCTTTGAGACCATGCTTTTAACTTTTCTTTTTTTTTTGGTGAGACAGAGTCTTTCTCTATTGCCCAGGCTGGAGTGCAGGTCTCTCATCTCACATCTTGGCTCACTGCAACCTCTGCTTCTTGGGTTTAAGCAGTTCTCATGTCTCAGCCTCCTGAGTAGCTAGAATCACAGATACACAATACCATGCTCAGTCAATATTTGTAATTTTCTGGTAGAGATGTGGTTTCGTCACGTTGGCCAGGCTGATCTTGAACTCCCGGCCTTACGTGATCCACTTTGGTCCCCCAAAATGCTGGGATTACAGGTGTGAGCCACTGTGCCTGGCCCATTCTTTCAATTTTTTTGGCTGTATACCCAGAAGTGGGAATACTGGATCATATCGTTCCATTTTTAATTTTTTGAGGAACCACCTTTTCCACTGTGATTGGGTAATTAAGTTTTGATTATTCACTTTATATACACTGAAATTTGACATGACTGAGCTTTTATAAATACCTGTATATAGTAATTGTATGGTAAAGCTGGGGGGTTGGCTTTCTAATTTGTCCTTATCCTTCTTCCTCCAGGTAATCCTGCAACACAGCTGCTTTTTTTCTCCCTGATTCTCCTGTCTTCTTACTTATCACGAAAAGGGCACATATATCTCTGTGTATATGACAGTCATGAGTGCAGTCCCAGTTTAATTCCGGTTCTGAATTTTAACTTTAGAGATATGAGCTAATTTCCCTACGTATGATTGATTAAGAATAAGCTCAAAGGGATGTCTGTACTCCAAGAAGAAATTTGTTCCTTTTTCCCTGTCAAGCTATAGCAGCTAGTTCTGATCTAAGGGCTTAAGCTAATGATGGCACATGGGAGGACTCTTTGGGATATTCGCTATTTGCTCAAAAAGTATATCTATGTAGAAATTTTTTACTCCACTGTGTGTATGCACTTTCCAAAGGAAAACCAGTATTTATCCATTATTGTGAATAGAATTTCTGTGAGATTCACATGGCTTCTGCAGGTGTATGAATGTTGAAAATAAGCCCAATATATCTCACATTTTCTAGGTTCATTATGACTTTGGCCTGCGTAACATTCTGTCAGTTCTTCGGACCTTGGGAGCAGCAAAACGAGCCAATCCAATGGATACGGAGTCCACGATTGTTATGCGTGTGCTACGGGACATGAATCTTTCTAAACTGGTAAGACTCACAGATGGAAATATTCCACCTACTTGAATATCAGTTCAACTAAATAACCATACATGAGACTTCAAAATATTTATTTAAAAATCTCATTTAAAATGCCTAATTATCAGGTAAAGTGCTGGAAAGCATCACTTTAATTATACTTTTTCAGGCCTTTTTTAGAGCAGTAGTGACTCCTATCTACTCTGAAGTGTGCCTATTCCAATAGAATTGAAATAGATTTAAAATATACACGTTAAGATGCCAAAAACCTTAAATCATTTTTGTGTTTTAGAACTAAAATCTCACCTTTAAAGTTGGGTAGAGCCTGGTAGGAAATGGTATGTAAATTCTACAAGTGTGTGATACTTTCACACTATTATTTCACAATAGAGTCTGATAATCAATGCCCAGTATCTGTGGATCTATGTAAAGGGTGACAAAGTGGTATTTTTTATTTTTAAACTAAAAGTACAAACCAAATTGCAATTCATTAACCCGCTACTAATTTCTAATTTAAAAATTCTTTTAAGTTTAAATTAGAAATTGTAAACTATATGGTATCCCCTAGAACTGACTATTTTGTGGAAAGATTGTCACATAGGCAGTATTGTCTTTCCTTTCATTTCCTTCCTTTCTTTTCTTTCTCCCTTTTCTCTTCCTCTTTAATTAGTTTTTTATAGGAAAGATGAGAAAAATATTAGTTAACTTTAATAAATGTGTTATTTGGGTTAGTGGTTGCATTGCAGTAACCATGACTGTGTCGGGCATTTCCAGTTTATCTGCATATTGCTATGTTTGTGCCAGAATAATTGGTCTGATTTCCCATTCTTTTCTTTTTTAGATTGATGAGGATGAACCCTTGTTTTTGAGTTTGATCGAAGATCTCTTTCCAAATATTCTTCTGGACAAGGAAGATTACCCTGAACTGGAAGCAGCAATTAGTAGACAGGTAATATGTTTCACAGGGCATCGAGGGTTGGTATCTGTTTTGTCTGAATTTAGTGGAAATAAAGTGCTGTGGCTCCAACCTGTGCACTCTGAGCAGCAAAAATAACAACAGTGCGGCTAACACTGCTGTCTTAAGTGAGGCCAGTGCACGCTATGGGTTGAACTCCCTTTGCCCTGGGTCTTTTACCATTGCACAGCCACATGTCCAGCTAGTCATGTGTGGGTAGCCCTGTTATTGGTGGAAACCATTCCACACCAGATTCAGAAATGAAATGTGATTGGTCAACAGGGGGTGGATGGGGCTCAGCTGGCTGCCTCTCCAGAGCTTGGCTTAGCTTGGCTTTGCCTTAGTGTTTGCCGTGTTGCCAATTGTTGGATTCCTGCCTCTGCATGTTATTTGCAGTGATCTCATGTGGCTTCTACACTGTCCCTTTTCCCCCCCAGTACTTGTGGCTTCTTACTCAGGCTCTGGGGGTTGGATAGGGTGGGTAAGGTGGAGGAACCCATCACACTATGTGGATCGTGATGTATCTGGATTTCCCCTTGTACTTGGTGCAGCTTTAACTTTTTATAGTCTTCCTAATAATGGAAATGAATTATGTAAACCATATGCCTCAATTTCCTTTTCTATGAAGAAGAATCTGGAAAAAAATGTTTTATAGAAGTGGTGATTAGCTCCTATTTATAAATTGCACTTCAATTCCTTGAAAATATTTGTAATAAAAATCAAATGTGGACAGGTGCAGTGGCTCATGCCTGTAATCCCTGCACTCTGGGAGGTCAAGGTGGGTAGATTTCTTGAATCCAGGAGTTTGAGACTAGCCTGGGCAACATGGTGAAACCCTGTCTCTACCAAAAATCCAAAAAATTAGCTGGGCATGGTGGCATGTGCCCATAGTCCCATCTGTTCTGGAGGCTGAGGTGAGAGGATCACTTGAGCCTGGGAGGCCGAGGCTGCAGTGAGCAGTGATTGCAGCACTGCACTCCAGCCTGAGTGACAGAGGGAGACTATCTCAAAAAAAAAAAAAATAATGCCTCTTCAGAAGGAATAAATTTCAGGACAAATTCTCCTTCCTAAGCAAAAAACTATCAAAAAAAAAAAAAAAAAAAAGAGGGAAATAAAATGTGGCAGTACTTAGTGTATATTTTGCTTTAAAAATTTAGTATATAAATGTCTGAATTTCCTGATCAGGTAAGAGTGATAATTTGTCTGCAATTGGTTTCTTCATCTTTTGGCTAAACTAGTTGTAATACTACCTAAAAGCTAAGTATTGGGCTGGGTGTCGTGGCTCACCCCAATAGTCCCAGTGCTTTGAGAGGCCAAGGTGGAAGGGTTACTTAAGCCAGCCTGAGCAACATAGCAAGACCTCGTCTCTATAAATAAAGTAAAAAATTAGCCTGGCACAGTGGTGCATGCCTGTAGTCCCAGCTACTCATGCAGCTGAGGCAAGAGGATCACCTGAGCCTGGGACTTAGGGGCTGCAGTGAGCTGTGATCACGCCACTGCACTCCAACATGGGGTGACAGAGTAAGACTTGTCTCTAAAAATATATGTATAAAAATATAAAAAAGCTAAGCATTAGGAATTAATAAGATGACTTACATTAGTAATTTGTGGCATATAAAAATCTGAAGAGCAAATCATAGCATAAAGTGATACATGATTACTGTAAAAAATTATTCAAGTAAAATTGAAATCATTATGTACTATGTGTTCAAGCATAGCTTGACAGTTAAGTGCCTGGACTGTAGATTTGAACTTCTTGGGCTTAAATCCACATTCCATAGTTTCCCAAGCTGATCATCTTGGGCAAATTGCTTAGTCACTCTGCTTCAATTTCCTTATCTGTAAAATGAAGATGTTAATAGTATCACTTCTATCATATTATTATAAAGATTTCCATCATGTTTTCTAAAGATTGATCTTAGAATAATATTTGGCACAGAGTAACTTCCATACATGCATTGATAGAAACTACGCAGTGGACATGTAAAGACAGCTTGAAATTTACATGGAATTTCAATCAACGTAGTATGCTGTCCATTTTTCTAGTCATAAGTATCATCTTTTAAATTAAACATTTAAAATACATTTTGTGGCTGGGCACGGTGGCTCACACCTGTAATGCTAGCACTTTGGGAGGCCGAGGCGGGTGGATGACGAAGTCAGGCAATCGAGACCATTCTGGCCAACATGGTGAAAACCTGTCTCTACTAAAATGCAAAAAACTAGCTGGGCGTCGTGGTGCCCGCCTGTAGTCCCAGCTACTTGGGAGGCCAAGGTAGAGGAATTGCCTGAACCTAGGAGGCGGAGGTTACAGTGAGCCGAGATCACGCCACTGCACTCTAATCTGTGTGACAGAGCAAGGCTCCGTTTCAAAAAAAAGAAAAAAAATACATTTTGCCATTTGAGTCTTTATTTTTAAGTTGCTCCTCAGATGTTCATTCAATAGAATGTTTATATAAATGTTTTCAATTCCCAAAGACAAATGCGGATATTTCTTATTAGCTTGGGATTACATCTTCATTACGTTCAGCCAGATTTTTGTCTATGTAAATGTGTATTTTTCATGCAATTTTTAAATTACAGTAAAATTTTACATTTTAATCATTTTTAAGAAGAATGAAGCACATTTACATTGTTGAGCAACTTTTATTGTCACCACCATCCATCTTCAGAACCATTTTTATCATCCCAAATTGTACTTGTTAAACAGAAAATCTTCCTCCCTCCTTTCGTGTCTGTGTATTTTTCTTGTAGCACAATGGAAAATTTAGATTGTCATTGTGTATTTCAATGTGGGGATTCTCTTATGTTTTCAGGTTGAAGCAGCTGGTTTAATCAGCCATCCTCCTTGGAAGCTGAAGGTCATCCAGCTATTCGAAACACAGAGGGTGAGGCATGGGATGATGACCCTGGGGCCCAGTGGGGCTGGGAAGACCACCTGCATCCACACCTTGATGAGAGCCATGACAGGTACTGGGCAGCCAAGGTCAATGCCTGAGTGTCCCATTTAAATAGTTGTGACACCTTTGAATGCCCAAGAGGGACACAAAGGCAGACACATTAATTATTTATATAGGAGGAAATAACTGCTTTGTTAATTATTGGGACTATTTTGGAGATAACATATTACATTAATGGACCAGACAGAAAAAAAACATTTTTAGGTGACTTTATGCACTGCACTGTGTGTTTTTCGTATGTTATGTAATTTAATTTTCATCATGATCTTGAGAGGTTGTTATTATTATTCTCATTTTGTATAAAAATCAAGGCTCAAATTAAAAAACACCCAAGGTCACAAAGCTGGTAAGTGATGGTAAGTGAAGAGTTAAGGTCACAGTGCACTAAAAAATATCCCAGTTTCCCCAACATACCATACCATTTCCCAGTAAATGCAAAATAAAGCACACTGTCTCCCAATAAACAGAAAGTACTTCCAAACCCAACTCTTATGTTCTTGTGTTCTATGTGCTGAAGTCGTCCTAATCCCAATCCCATTTGGAATCAGATTTTTTTTTTGTTTTAGAAGTTAAATAAATGCATTTCATTTCCAGATGTCCCTAAGACTTACATCTAAAGTCATCTAAGGCTAACGGACATTATGACGTTCATGATTATTCTTGTGTTCTCTTGTTCCAATTAGACATTGATGACTCTCTTCTAAAAATATTGGCATCCCTTAGACATGACAGAGTTGAATTCCAAAATGTCACAGAACCTTGGCTGTTGGAATGCAAAACATATGGCAGTGCATTGAGGTTTTAGGAGCTGACTGAAAACCCACCCAGCAAAAAGGTACCTGAGAAGGCTTTCGGTCAGCTCATAGAGCCTCAGTGCACTGCTACTGGTGCAAACTGGTACATTGTTGGTGGTGGCTGGGGATTGCCAGTGTTTGCTGTGGGACCCTGCACGTGTTGGATTTGGTTTTTGTTTCCTGAGTTATTGGAGGAAGTGAATTCTGCCTATCTGGACTCTACCAGGATGTTCTCAGGCCGAGACACAGTGTGTGCTCAGCTAATACTTACCTCTACCAAAACTGAGCACTCCATCCTGCAGGACTTATCACGTGGTTTTTCATGTATGCTATTAAGATTCTGTTTTGGGATTTTTATATTTTTAAATGATTGTGTTCTTCCTCAAATTTTTCTTAATATTTTTGTTGCAGTTATGAAGCTGCCTCCTGTTAACAATAAACTATGAATGCACAGGGTACAATGACTTGAACAAAATGAGCACTAAATATTAAACAACGTAGATACATTATGTATGATATGTCTAAATTATGTAATCTGTATGGCATCACTGATTTTGGAGAAGTTCCTTGCAAAGATGAATTAATCATTAGACTATCTGTTGTTTATGAACTTGGTTTTGGTTTTAGTAGTAGAGGAAACATTTATCTTACTTAACACATTGTTTCTCACTGAAAACGTTCAATAATCCAAAAGATTGAGAAGATAATTGAACTTCTACTGAGGAAGTACAAGGCCCATGCATATTATTTGTTCCCTGGTTTGGCATATATCTCATCATCAAGTGTCTTTAATATTCTACACTTTGAAGATCTGTCGGGTTCTGTATTAGAAGCAGGACGTAGACAAAGACAGAGATAATTATAATTCAACAGGGAATCGCTATAAGGACGGTTTGGACAAGTATCCTAAGTATCCTGTGATGAGGGCAAGGAGATCAGAAAATCCTCTAAGGAATTATAGAAAGGTACACAGAGCAGGTGCTACTTCATCTGAGGCTTGAGGGTAAAGTATCAGATTGGTAAAAAATATTTTTGGCAGAAAAAAGAGCCTGTGTCAGTAGGAGGAATTGGAGAGAACATGATATACCCAAGGAAGTGCTTTGGCATGGATGAAATGCAATTGGTCAATGGGGGTGGAAGTGGGAGGGCGGGGGATGAGATTGGATATGATGTTATAGCAGATGCCATTGGCACCCAGGGCCACACCCCTTTCATCCTCCCCTGCTGTAGATGTGACTGTGTCTCCCTTGAGCTCCGGTAGTGGCTCCCAACTTTTCAGCCTTAGGATTTTGCTTGAAGCCAGGGCCCTGGCTCAGCCTGAAAGTAGGAGTCAGGTGGGAATTAATGTCACCGAGGCAGTCATGACCTTGAACAATGGGGAAGAAGAGTTGATGGCAGGAGACCCGCCTCCTGTCTTTCAGAAAGACACTCCATCTGTGATATGCTTAGCAGTGCACCCTTTATTGGCTTCTCTTTTCTCCTGTCTCATTTTCTTTGTTCCTCACTTCATACTCGCAGCATGCAAGTTCTTGTCTCAGGCTCTGCTTTCAGGAGAATCCAAATGAGAGCAGGTGTGGCATGAAGAGCTTTGTAAGTCATGCTAAATACCTAGGCCTTATTCTGGAGGTGATGGGAAACCACTGAGCTAGGGAATGGCACCGTCATTCCTGTGTGTAGAAAACTATCTGGTGGCCACAGAGAGAACAAACTGGGGCACAGGGGGGCTGGTCTTGGGATCCATAAGGAGGTGACAGCAAGAAAAGGGTGCCCATTCTAGGGCAGAGTCCACGAAGGTAGAGTGATCAGGATGGAGTCCAGAAATGCCTAGGAGAAGAAACAAGAGGAATTAGTTTAACCAACATTGTGAAAGTCAAGCGTTTTATTTTTCTTAGCTTATGCTTATAAAAATGTTATGATATTTTAAATGAAAACAATAGAATTCTACATATTACCATATTGAAATAATTTTTGGTAATTTCTCTTGTATAGGCAACAGATGACTCCACTTTTTTTTTTTTTGAGACAGAGATTCACTCTTGTTACCCAGGCTGGAGTGCAATGGCGCGATCTCGGCTCACTGCGACCTCCGCGTCCTGGGTTCAGGCAATTCTCCTGCCTCAGCCTCCTGAATAGCTGGGATTACAGGCACTCACCACCATGCCCAGCTAATTTTTTGTAGTTTTAGTAGAGACGGGGTTTCACCGTGTTGACCAGGATGGTCTCGATCTCTTGACCTTGTGATCCACCCGCCTCGGCCTCCCGACTCCACTTTTAACCTATGCTATCATACACTTTAAAGATTTTGCTGGCCTCTTGTAATGTGTGATTAGATGAAAGGTTGTGTTGCCAGAGGCTTATGGATATCATCTATTGCAAAAGCTAAATTGTGGCTAAGTTTAGCTTTATTATTGTAAATAATTAGTTTAGCTTTATTATTGTAAATAATTAGCCTGATTTTGTGATTTCTAAAAAGGAGAAATATTGTCTAGTTTTCTAAATGGGCGTATTAGGGTTCTTCAGAAAAACAACTAGTACACACACACACACACACACAGAGTACAATAAGTAAATTGTATTTATTTATGAGTAATTGGCTCAAGTGATTATGGAGGCCAAGAAGTCCTATCATCTGCTATCTTCGAGCTGGAGACCCTGGAAAGCAGGTGGTATAATTTGGTTTGAGTCCCAGGGCCTGAGAACCAGGAGAGCCAAGGGTGTAAATCCTAATTTGAGGGCAGAGAAGATGCAATGAAATGTCTCAGCTCAAAGGTAGGCAGGAAAAAAGGGGCAAATTCTTCCTTCCTTGGCCTTTTTTTCTGTTGGGGCCTCAACAGATTAAATGATGCCTGCTTACGTTGGGGAGGACCGCCTACATTACTGAGTCCACTGATTCAAATACTGATCTCAACTGGAAACACCATTATGGACACGCTGAGACATGGTGTTTAATCTGGGTACCTTGTGGCCAGTCAAGTTGACACGTGAAGTTAATCACTGCAATGCGTTTTACTGGAACATTTTCTCTAATGTGCATGGATATGTATGTATGCTTGTATTTGTTGATCTACCACACACAGTGAGTGATATTTCAGTGTATGTAGCTTGTATTTGTTGATCTACCAAACACAGGAAGTAATGTTTCAACATTTTTTTTTTTCAAATGGAGTTTCACTCTTTCACCCAGGCTGGGGTGCAGTGGCACAATCTCGGCTCACTGCAACCTCTGCCTTCTATGGTTTCAAGTGATTCTCCTGCCTTAGTCTCCCAAGCAGCTGGGATTACAGGTGTCCACCACCAAGCGCAGCTAATTTTTGTTTAATAGAGATGGGGTTTCACCATGTTGGCCAGGCTAGTCTTGAACTCCTAATCCCGTGATCCGCCTGGCCCGGCCTCCCAAAGTGCTGAGATTATAGGCGTGAGCCACTGCACCTTACCCATTTTTATAATTTTATATTTTAAATCTTATTATTCACTGTTCTGTTCATTAACCACAGTCCCTTATGCACAGAATTCCAGCCCATTGAAGAGTAGGCTTAGGGTTTGAAAGATGTGAATACATTTCTTGGCCACAAAAGAAAGTCCCTGATTCATGCAAAATTCATTTAGCTTATCTTTTTCAAGGTGAGCAAGAGAACATATCACAGATCAAAGCTGATAATGGAGAGAATGAGGCATCTTCTAGGTGATATTCAGGCACAAGATTTAATCTAGTATAGCTTAAACCAAAGATTTTTTTTTTTTTTTTGAAAAAGCCATGAAATTTAGAGAGCATCCAGATTATATTAGTACCTCTATAAATTCCAGCATGGTATCTTTTTTCACCCCTAAGCAATATGCAATTTTCTCTAAAGAAGATAAAAAAGTGCTTTAGTCCATAAAGTATAATGAAGCTAATTTTGGTAACTTAGAATGCAGTGTGACATATTTTCAGTGTAGTTCTGCAGTTTTCATATTTTGAGCACCTGCTGACAGTACACCACAAATTAGTGCAATGTTGCTTAATGATGGTTCAGTTCCCATCTGAGATGTCTACAATTTGGATTTACTTGGTTTAGATTGTGGGAAACCACACCGGGAAATGAGGATGAATCCCAAAGCGATTACCGCCCCACAGATGTTTGGTCGGCTGGATGTTGCAGCAAATGACTGGACTGATGGGGTATTTTCTACCCTATGGAGGAAAACACTAAGAGCAAAGAAAGGTAGAAGATAAATTACAAGTATTGTTTTTGATTTATATTTCTAGATAAAATCCTTGGAGGCTATACAGAATTAGTAGAACAACTGTATTCTCCATATAATATCTTAGCCAAGACTAACAAGTCATAAATCAGTATGATATTTGTGAATGTTGAAATAATGAAATTATTGATCACAGTAGTTACAACGCTCCTTTTTTGAAATAATATTTGCTGAAAATATACGTCAGTATCCCTGTGATACCTTAGAATAAAATAAATGGAAAAAGCTGTTAAGCAAAATTGATGGTATTGAATAAAGTTATTTTACCATAACTATTTTCACTGAATATTTTACCAATGTTACTCTCATTTAAGTAGTGCCTATTTTTAAAGAATTGATTTCTGTACAAAATCGCAGGGAAAATGGGTTATTTGGGAGAGAAAATTGTGTATCGCAAAAGTGAAGTCTACATTGAACTAATAAATTATTCTGTGTAGATGGTCATTAGTGTTCGGTTGTTTAAACAAACTCATTAAGGGCTAGCAGTTCAGTCTGAATAGTCTCTCACTTACGGACTTTGTGAATTGAACCCAGTGTTCTCAGAATAGAAACTCGGAGGGAAGAGGTGATATCAGCTCCCTTCTCAGTTGATTTCCTCAGTCCTGAGTGAGTAGGCGAAAGGCACAGTGAATACAATTGCAGAGAGAAAGCAGCAGGGGAAGGAGGAGATATTTGGGCTCACTTCTTGGGTCTACCCTCTGGGCAACTGTGTCCTTCTGAAATATGTTTAAAGTGGTACCACTGAAGTTCTCATTTAAGGAATGTAGCTGATAAAACTAATATTGATTGTCCAAACAGAAATGAAAATGCTTATTTCAAAAATGTGCTCATATTAGAAATTGTTTTTGTTCTACTGGAAAGAAAGAAACTTTAATTTCTGATTTCTTTCAGTAATCCATTGTAAACACAGACCCAGTGACCAAATGTGACTTCAAAGAACAGGAGCTCAGAGAGCTTTTTTTCCCCTTCTTTCCACATAAAAAAGGCAACATGTGCTTTTTCTTTCAAAGTGAGTCTAGTGATTAGATCACCATTTAACGTGAATTGCTAGTTGAATGAACTTGATTAGGATTTTCAAAGCATTTTATTTGAAATAGACTATTCCAGAGTTGTTGCATAGCAAAGAAAATTTAGGGCCATGTGATAGGTCATGGTGTTGGTGAGTAAGAGGAGCTAGTAGTTGAGAAATGAAGAGTAATGCTACCATTAAGTCAATTACCTAAATTTACAATGACATTCTTGTTGAGCATTCTGCCGATGTTTGTCATTTTCTCTACCTCCCAGTATCTCCTTATGTGACTGCTGTCAGGTTTTGTGTCCAGTGCTCCTCTGAAATTGCTGTATCAAGGACACCCCTGACCTCCAGCTTGTCAAATACAAATTGCCGGTTCTCAGTCTGGTCCTGCCCTCAATAGCATTTGGCATAGCTGGTCACCTGCCTTCGTGAAACCCTTCCTTCCCTGGGCTGCAGGGACTCCTCATCCTGCTAGCTCTTTTTTCCACTTCTACTTCCTTGAGAAGTCTGGAAGACTGGGGAGCAAATACAGGAGACCAGGCCAGAAGCTTACAGGGCCTCTGTCTCAGCCTTCCTCTCTCTCCACGCTTATCTAGAAGAAACTTACCCAGTCCCATAATTTTAAATCCTATCTCTAAACTGCTGGCTTTCACATTTAAATCTCCAGCCTTAACCCCTCTCCGGAATTCCCAACTTGATGACTCTGTGAGGATCTCTATTGAACGCCTTAGACTTAGGTACAAAGTAGAATGGGTGCCATAGCTCTGTCTTTCCCACTGTCCTCATATACCTCTCCCCATCCTCCTCTTTTTGCCATTAAGGTTTAACTTCTTATTGTTCCTGGAATGTGATCACCTTAGTTTGGGATGCTATTGACTGGGTGGTTTTTAAACAATAGACATTTATTTCTCCTAGTTCTAGAGGCTGGAAGTCTGAGATCAGGGAGCCAGCATGGTTGGGTTCTGGCGAGGGCTTTCTTCAGAGTTGCAGTCTGCCAATTTCTTGCCATATCCCATGTGGTAGAAGGGCAAGAGAGCTCTCTGAGATCTCTTTATAAGAGCACCAGTCTCATTCACGAGGGCATTTTGGGGGAGCACATTCAGTCCATTGTATTACTCTAAGCCTGTACCTGCTTCAAGGGCTTAGCACTTTCTGTTCTTGCTGTCTGGAATATTCTACCTCTAGATCTTTACATCACTTCATTCTCTTCCTGGAATATCTTATTGACTACCTTATCTAAACCATGCGCCATGCCCTCCTTCTACTTAATTTTTCTTATGTTAAACTTTTCTTTATTTGTTTGCTTGTCATCTCTACTCCTTAGAATGTAAATGCTGCAATACCAGGACATTGTTGCATTTATCACAATATCCCCAGCCCCTAGAACAGTGACATATGCAAGATGCTCAATGAATATTTGTCCAATAAACAAATGACTTTTTGATTTAATTATGGGCCTTGACTGCTACGTCAAGATCTTTAAAAATCCTATGTGACAAAACAGGGTAATTACTTAGCAAAACTTTATTTAAAAGTTAGAGAAAATTACATGGAATATTGTACTTCTTCAAGCTATTTTATACTTACGTGTACATGCACTGTATGTGTGTATGTATTTTTTTCTCCCTTTGGTGGGGTATTCTAGGGGAACATATCTGGATAATTCTTGATGGCCCAGTAGATGCCATCTGGATTGAGAATCTGAATTCTGTTTTGGATGATAACAAGACTCTAACCCTCGCCAATGGCGATCGGATTCCTATGGCTCCAAACTGCAAGATCGTCTTTGAGCCTCATAACATTGACAATGCTTCTCCTGCCACTGTCTCAAGAAATGGAATGGTTTTCATGAGCTCTTCTGTCCTTGATTGGAGTCCTATTCTTGAGGTATAATTGAATCCTTTTTTTTGTATAATTAAAAAGGAAAACAGATCCTTTAGCATTCTTTTACTGCGTGTGCCAGTTTTTCTGCAGATGGCAGTGTAATTGCGTTTTTATGCTGTTTATGGAAGATACCTTGAATGCACTGGGACATTCAAACCCTGATTGCTCCTAACGTGTTTCTTCATTACTCTTCTAATCACTTTTGAACTGGGATTTCCAACCTGTAGCTTGCACAGTAATTGCCAGGCCTGTATGAACCAACGGTCTTGCACAACCATGTCTGAGGACTAATAAGTAAAATTTAATTTGATCACTTTGGGGAATCATGATATTTTTGGAAAGATACACATTCACATAAAGCTTAGGAGCGACCATTTGAGAACATTAACTTGAAGACAATTTATTAAAATTGCATATAAGGATTTTTATGAGATTCATTAGTTCCAAATTTGAACTTGGTAATAATATTTCAGATAACATATCATCATTTCATGGTCAGGTATATTATTTTACTACCAGCAATATATTCTAGAATACATTGATCAGAATTATATCATAAATAAATGCTTTGTATACTTAGATATTTTGCTAGATAAATAATATCATGTAAGGCAGAATGTTTATTAGATACGCCACATGAAAAATCTTGTTATATATAGTTGGTTAAATTTATTATTTTCATCACCTAAATTTTTTGAAGATGATTTTGATGGAAAACTTATGAATTCCTAATGTAAATAAAGTAGGTGTTTATTTTACATTATATCATTACATTTGGAAACTTTTATTTCTATATGGTTATATCCTAACTTTTTATTAATGTCTTTCCAGAATTTGCTCAAGTCTGTTGCAAAAGGCTTTAGATTTGGTATGAAGATGTGAAGAAGGAGGGAATCATATTGCAAAATGATACTGACATATAGTTGAATGTGTCACTAAAAATAGTTGTAAAGGTTTCAGATTTCACAATAAATTATCCATTCATTAAGGATAATAGAAGAGGGTTGCAACTCTGTCTTTGCAAAAGTAATCACCAATGACAATTCTTTAAAATACAGATGATCGAGTTACATTTCAATCCTTCCAAATTAGAATCTCTGGGAGGCAACTCAGTATTGTTTTTTTCTTCTTTTCTTTTAAGTGCCATAATGTATATATTTTTTCAATAGCCAGGCTTGGAAACCATGGGTACAGCAAAGTACAAGAGAAAATGTATATATATGATTTTTCCAAAACACTTCAATGTTGCAAAGATTTTTGAAAAATACTTTTACACAACTAGCTAAGGAATACTAAGTAATGCATGAGTTTGCTATTTATAAAATAAGATTTAGCTATAGTCTGTCCATACTGAGACTGAATAAGACATTTACATTAATGCTATGCCCACCTCATAATATTCTATATGTTTTAAATAATGCATTTTCATTTTGGAAATTGTTAGGAAGAGCAAGACTCATGAAGAATCAGGTTGGAAATGTTTAGAACAGGGAAGCCAGCTCTGAGAGTTATTAGAGGGCAGAGCAACTGAAAAGTTGTATTGCTGGCAATCTGTCAGCTTCAGGGAGCCAAGCTGGTTACCTGCCCTAGTGAATGTCGTCTTTTGGTCCCATCAACTCAAAAATGCTGTGTTATGTTTTTGTCGAGGTAGAATCATGGTAAATTCATGAACTAATGAATAATTCAGAATCAACATTTTATTGCTTCTGTTCAGAGTCTCTAATTGTTTCTTGGAGTATTGAGGTGAAGAATGAGCTGATCTCTTGACCTGAAGAGAACTTGCCTCATCTTAAGGAAATGCTGTGTGTTAAGTGGTATTTTGTTATGAATGACATGCAGTTTCTTAATGCTAGCTTTCTCAAATGACTAAATCCTTCATTTTCATAAGTATTCTTTGATATTTGTCTATATTGTTTATTGATTAAATTAGAAGAAATAAAAGGAAACAACTAATTGTAGTAAATCTTTTCTTTTTATTAAAAATATCTGGGGGCCAGGCACAGTGGTTCATGCCTATAATCCCATCACTTTGGGAGACCAAGGCAGGCAGATAGCTTAAGGCAAGGAGTTCGAGACTAGCCTGGGCAATATGGCAAAACCCTGTGTCTACAAAAATTACAAAAATTAGGTGGGTGTAGTGGCATGCACCTGTGGTCCCAGCTACTTGGGGAGCTCAGGCCAGAGGATCACCTGAGCCTGGGGGCGGAGGTTGCAGTGAGCTGAGATCATACCATTGCACTTCTGCCTGAGTGACAGAGTGAGATCCTGTCTCAAAAAAAGAAAAAAAATCTGGGTTTGGATATCCTTTGTTCATCTTTGATTCTTTACTTTTCCCCCTGAGTTATTTCCATAGATGTGCCTTCTCATTTTTTCCCAGCATATTTTAATCAAGAGTTGAAGACTGTTTCTCCATCTATGAGCATATGGAAATGGTAGTAGCTGAACACATGGGCCCAGGCTTTCTGGGTCTTAATCCTGCTTTTGCCACCTGCCTGCAGTAGGCTTCTGAGCAGGCTACCTATACTTCCTGGGCCTCAGTTTCCTCATGTGTAAAAGGAGGATAGTAACAGTTCTTACCTTGTAGAGTTGTTTTGAGGAGTAATTAGGGTTGAATTAATACATGGAAGAGTTTGTAGCAAAGCCTGGAATATCATGTGTGGTATAATCTTAGATAATATCATTATTAACGGATACTTTAAAAATTTTGTCCCCAAATGACCATTTTTCTAGTGTCCTAATAAGTTTCATGAATACATTGATCTGTGAACTGACAGGGTTTTCTTAAGAAACGCTCGCCTCAAGAAGCAGAAATTCTTCGTCAGCTGTACACCGAGTCTTTCCCAGACGTGTATCACTTCTGTACCCAGAACTTAGAATACAAGATGGAGGTGCTGGAGGCCTTTGTCATCATGCAGAGCATTCACATGCTTCAAGGACTGATTCCTCCAAAGGTAAATTGCTCAACTTTCTAGAGAAATTCTCTCTTGTTAACTTAGCCATGCTGTGCAGAGTACTATAATTGAAATTAGATTTAGTTAGAGCTGTTGGGGAGGGGGAATATTTCAAACATGGATCCCACATATTTTGGTATTTTTTCATATCCCTTAAAAAAAATAAAGCTAACCATGGATTTGGAATTTAGTTGCATGTTAACAAAGTCATGCAACAGGTATCCCCGAATTATTATTATTATTATTATTATTATTATTATTGTGTGTGGGTTTTAATTCTTATATTTTGTGAGTACATAGTAGGTATATATATTTATGGGGTACGTGGGATATTTTGATGCAGGCATGCAAATGTGTAATAATCACATCAAGGTGAATGGGGTATCTATCACCTCATTCATCATGTCTTTGGGTTATGAACAGTACAATTGAACTCCTTCAGTTACTCTAAAATGCACAACAGATAACTGCTGACTGCAGTCCCTGTGTTGTGCCATCAAATACTAGATCTTATTCATTGTATCTAACTATATTTTTGTGTCCATTAACCATCCCCATTTTCCCCTCCTCCCCACTCCCCTTCCTAACCTCTGGTAACCATCATTCTACTTTATCTCCATGACTTCAATTGTTTTAATTTTTAGCTCCCACAAATGCATGAGAATATACCAAGTTTGTCTTTCTGTGCCTGGCTTGTTTCACTTAACACAGTAACCTCCAGTTCCATTCATGTTGTTCAGATGACAGCCTCTCATTCTTTTTTAGGCTCCCTTGTGTGTATGTACCACTTTTCTTTATCCATTCATCTGTTGATGGACACTTAGCTTGTCTCCAATTCTTGACTGTTGCGAACAGTGCTGCAATAAACCCTGTTTATTATTTATTTATTTTTGAGACAGAATCTCAGTTTGTTGCCAGGCTGGAGTGCAGTAGTGTGATCTCGGTTCCCTGCAACCTCTGCCTTCTGGATTCAAGTGATTCTCCTGCCTCAGCCTCCCGAGTAGCTGGGACTACACCCAGCTAATTTTTGTATTTTTAGTAAAGACGATGTTTCACCATGTTGGCCAGGATGGTCTCGATCACTTGACCTCGTGATCTGCCTGCCTCGGCCTCCCAAAGTGCTGGGATTATAAGCGTGACCCATCGCGCCCAGCCAAACCCTGCTATTTTTAAAGACAGCTTGGTATGCCCAGAGTTCAGTTCCTCATTTGTTCTCCAGTTTTATTCATCCTTTCCCTCCTTCTTGGAGGAAAACTACTGTCTTGTTTCTATGTTTATTGTTTTCATTGCAACCCTAGAGCAACGTTTAGGTTTGAGAATCAAGTAGTAAAAAAAAAATTTCTTTCCTTCTCAGGAGCAAGGCGGGGAGGTGAGCCGGGCACACCTGGGGCGGCTGTTCGTGTTCGCGCTGCTGTGGAGCGCAGGGGCGGCCCTGGAGCTGGATGGCCGGCGCCGCCTGGAGCTCTGGCTGCGCGCACGGCCCGCGGGGACACTGGAGCTGCCGCCGCCCGCGGGCCCTGGGGACACCGCCTTCGACTACTTCGTGGCGCCCGATGGTGAGGACACCCGCCCGTCCAGACGAAACACATGGGGGCCGTTCTTCCTTAAAAGGCCAATATTTATATATATGTTTTTCTAAATGAGAATTAAAATTCTTGGCTGTAAGAAATGAAAATGTTCATGTGTGACGAAGGTGAACAGTGGAAAAAAATCTACTTTGATTGTATTTAAAATGCACAGTTTCCTGTTGTTAAATATATTGTGCACTAAACTTTCAATGAATTAAGCAACATTTAAAAAGCCAAGTCGGATCTATTTCTGACATTCATTCAATATAATCAGCAATTTATATAAAAGTTACAAAGTATATTTTCGCCAAATATGTGTGTATCTGTAGCTTTATATCTTTATCTCTGTATCTATACATACATTAAGGTTGTTGATGTGTGTATAAATATATAAAGTACATTTATACAAAAAATGAAGTACATTTATACAGGTGTATAATATATATTAAATGTTTAATATATATATGTATGGGCCTAGGATCTTTTGCCTAGTGAAAAGTGTGTGTGATTTGACATTTGAAAATGATTAATGATTTTAGATACATGCTATTCTCACTCTGTTCTGTATTTTTATAATACTTCATATTATTGAAAACTAATCTATTTTTTAAAAAATTCCAAAATACTTCCTAGTATTTCCTAGGTTTACCACCTTGAAATTGTTCCTTGGGACATTTTGACTCAGCTAACACATACTTGTGTACTTAGATCTCTGATTTTAATGATCTTTATTTTATGGGGTGAATTTGGAAGGTGACCTCATAAGATTTCAGGGATGTCTGCTCATTACAGTTGGGAGTTGAATTATTGCTATGGAGATGGAAATGTCCCCTGTTCACCTCAGGTACATGGACGCACTGGAACACACGTACCCAGGAATATCTGTATCCGCCTGATACCACCCCAGAGTATGGCTCTATTCTGGTGCCAAATGTTGACAATGTGAGGACTGACTTTCTAATTCAAACCATCGCTAAACAGGGCAAGGTATGGCTTTTAATTTTTATTCACAGTAGCATATTTTAAAGACATGAAGCATCCTGCATTTATTTTAAAATGTTTTATGTTGCAGTTTAAAATAAGTGAAAATGTTACCTGAGCTACTATTCTTCTTTTATTATTCCCCACTAAAATATGAGTTGAATAGTTCTAATTCATAAGTAATTATTTCTTATGTATGATTTGACAGAAAGTACATTTTGGTTTGTTTGGTTTGCTTTTCCCCAAAGGATTCCTTCTGTTTTGATCACTGAGCTAGTTTACTAGGGCAGCTATAATGAAATACCACAACCTAGATGGCCTAAGCACAGCAGTTTCCCTGCTCTCCATTCTGGAGACTGAAAGTCCAGGATGAAGGTGTTGGCCGGATTGGATTCTTCAGAGGCCTGTCTCCTTATCTCATGGATGGCTGCCTTCTCACTTTGTCTTCCCATGGTGTTTCTTTGCATACGTAAATTTCCTCTCCTTTTTTTTTTTGAGATGGGGTCTGTCACCCAGGCTAGAGTGTAGTGGTGCAATCTTGGCTCATTGCCATCTCTGCCAACCCGATTCTCGTGCCTCAGCTTCCCAAGTTGCTGGGATTACAGGTGCACACCACTGTGTCTGGCTAATTTTTGTATTTTTAGTAGGACGAGGTTTCACCATGCTGGCCAGGCTGATCTTGAGCTCCTAGCCTCAGGTGATCCACCCGCCTCGGCTTCCCAAGGTGCTGGGATTACAGGCGTGAGCCACCATGCCCAGCCACAGATTTCTCTTCTTATAAGGACACCAGTTAGAGTGGACTAGGGCTCACTCCAACGACCTTATTTTACCTTAGTCACCTCTTTAAAGACCTTATCTCCAAATCGAGTCACATTTTAGGGTACTAGGGGTTGAGGATTCAGGGTATGAATTTTGGGAGGACAAATTCAGCCCATCACACTCATTCATTTTTTGAATTTTTTTTTCAACTCCCTCTATTTTAGGCTGTGCTGTTAATTGGCGAACAAGGAACAGCCAAAACGGTCATGATTAAAGGATTTATGTCAAAATATGATCCTGAAAGTCACATAATCAAGAGTCTGAACTTTTCTTCTGCAACCACCCCTCTGATGTTCCAGGTACTGACTCTTTGGTGTGGCTCAGTAAGCCCAAGTTTGTGATAAACTTTGGAGGCCCCAATCTCTACTAGTCTGCTTTATCTGAATCTCATCTGAACTCTTACAGTCATGATGAATCACCCCGTATATCTTTCATTCTTCCTATTATTCAATTGCAATAGAATCTTTCCCTAGATGATATCATCTTAAATTATGGAAAAATATAAAGCTTATATAAAGTGCTATAGGCCTCAGTACGGTTTAAAGTATCTATGTAGAAAATACTGTGAACATGCAAAACCCAAAACTGAAAAAAATATTATTTATTCCCCCACCTAAACCTACTTCCTCTCCCTAGAGTCTGCTTGCCTGAAGGTGTTCCTAATACTCTTTAGGGCTAGTCACTTGAAATCATCTTTAATGAGTCCCTCTTGCTCGGGTCTCAAAGGTTAATGTAGCAAAAGAAATGCATTTCACTTCTCTTTCTTTATCTTCATGCCCCTTGTTTACCTCTAGGTAATCCACTTCTGCATGATTGCATACCAGGGTATTGGCATGGGAGAATCCCAAGTTACAGTTGGTTCAAGTTGAATTCTCTTTCAGTCTAGCTTTTTTTTTTTGAGACGGATTCTCACTCTATTACCAGGCTGGACTGCAGTGGCGTGATCCTGGCTCACTGTAACCTCCTGTTTTCTGGTTTCAAGCCATTCTCCTGCCTCAGCCTCCTGAGTGGCTGGGACTACAGGTGTGCACCACCACGCCCAGCTAATTTTTTGTATTTTTAGTAGAGATGGAGTTTCACCATGTTGGCCTGGATGGTCTTGATCTCTTGACCTTGTGATCTGCCTGCCTTGGCCTCCCAAAGTGCTGAGATTACAGGTGTGAGCCACCGCGCTGGCCAGTCTAGCTTTTATACTTCCCAATCCCTGTTTTGTAAAATGCCACTTTAATCTTTTTCTGACTTAGCATTGCACTGTGCCTCCCATGCTCAATTGCAACAGGTATAAAATCTTAGACCCTTAGATATGAATTATTTTACTCTATGTATCACAGAAGTGTGAGAGAAAAAAAAATCCTCAAGCTAGCATTGTTTATTTTTTTCCCAATGAAACCACCAGGAATGATCTAGATTTGCAGTGGTGTAAATGGTTCTTTTTCTCCTGGTCCTAAATTGTACAAGACCTTACTGAAACTGAGGAGGAAATCCTAAATGTCAATACATGCTTCAGGGATTTGCAAGTTCTCTCTCATATTTTTATAAGAACATTAATATATTGTCAAAAGACATATGTCATAAATTGAAAAGAAGGGAAATTTTTAGCAGAACACAAATCCAAATAACTTGGCTTTTAATGAACTTTGTTGTTCTTTAGTTGTTGGAATGAAAATATCAGAGCAATGAAACTTGTTGAAGGCATGGTTAAATCACGACTTTTTATCACTTAATTTAATTGGTGACAGCAGAGTGCCAATACACTAAGGCCATTGATTAAACTTCTAAATAAGGCTGTCATTTCATTATACTCTTCTGGAGGAGACAGGATTTCCAGTATCGGCTATCCTTCTATCAAATAAATACCATTCATATAGTGTCTGGGTGGGAAGATCTGGATGGATGGTCAATCCCGAATTGCAGTGACTCAGTAGTGATATTTTCATATTTGGGAAATAACACACTAGATTACCCTAAGCTTACAAGATGCTAACATTATACGTGCTCCTTTAATATCGCTTTACATTTAAAGAGCTTTTGTTAGTTTTATATCACACGCTTAAGTGTTCTCAAGACACCCATGCCTCTAACCAAGTGGCTACAAATTAGGCGATTCCTACAACCCCCTCAGTTTCCAACATTCACTAGAATGACTTACAGAACTCAGAGAAGTGGTATGCTTACTATTATAGTTTTCTTACAAAGATACAAATAAGTATCAGTCAAAAGAAAAGATACAGAGGGCAAGGTTTGGGAGGGTCCCAAATGCCAACCTTCCCTGTCCTCAGGATGTGCTATATTCTGGGCATAGCATGTATATCACCAACTTGGATGCTCACCTGAGCCTTGGTGTCCTGAGTTTTTATTGGGGTCTTATTAAATGGACATACTTGATTACATCATTGGTCAGAGGACAGAACTCAGATCTTTAAGACTGAACTCAAATCTCTATCAGCTTCACTCCCAGAAGGTCAGCTGATATCACGTGACTTAAAACCCCAACCTTCTCATCACATGGTTGGTCTTTCTGGTGTGAGTGATATGAGGGGCCCATGTGAATAATGGAGACTTTTGTTTCACTCAGGACATTTACAGGATTTAAAGGCTCCCTCCCAGGAGCCAGGGACAAAAGTTAGCCCAATCCTTTGTTATAAAACAAGGCCTTGTTACTGAGTTTTTGTTTCCAACTCTGCCAGGTATTAAAGATGTGTGGTTTCTGTCTCTTTAACTTGAAATATTTACTAATTTCCTGGAAAAAGCCATATGTTATCTAGAAAACCTGTTGTTAGATATACAAATTCATAAACCATATAATAAATTTCTAGAAGTGGTACCATATTCAAATATAATAATTAGAAGAATGATGTATTCTTTAGGCTCCCTTATCTGACGCACAAGGCTTTAGCCTGATTTCCCACTGTTCTTCAGTGTGAAGGTGGAGTTAACACATCACTGTTGGTTTTTTCTGTTCAGAAGCATCACAGGATCATCCACTCTGTTTAGTGCCAGAGACTATTTTGACTATCGAGCATCAGGACCTTCTATTAAGCAAGACTCATTAGTTTTAGAAAGCTTTCAATTAGCCAAACTGTTGTAATTAACTTTCTCACTGTAATTTTCAGTCATTCATGCTAAACAGGGCCGATGGAGCAGAGCGTTTGTCTCTGTGTCTCCCACGTATCTGGATCCCAAGCAAATTGAAAATGTAGATGAGAAAATAGATACTATCCATTTCTCAGCTGTTACCATGATGGCACACTGTCCAATGAAGGACACATGTCTGTTACTTGACAGGTTGTTTTCATCACGATGTAACTTGCACATCTTTTATCAGAAGGACTGTTTATCACTTTTTGCCTGGGAGAATCCAGTTTACTTTCACTGTCTAAGATAAGGAATTAACAGCATCCTTTGCCACTATCAAAAGTATCTGGTTTGGATAAAAATTATATAGTCATCCTATTTTTTGGCCAAGGGAATTTAGTCAGTTTTTTAAGAAAGATGCCTCATTTTCTCCCCAGACTAATATTGTTTTTTTTTTTGCAAAGTAATTTATACATAGAAGTAGAAATTTAAACAATACAAAATGGTGAAAAGAAGAAAGCAAAAATTCTTAAGATAATTTCTGAAAAGTTTTCTCTTCTAAAAATAATTATAAAGTGTTTTGAATACAGCCACAATCTTACCAATGGTTACATAGGAATATATTTCATTTTTAAAAAGATGAGATTCATAAAGCCTGGAAGAAAATTCCACACTTGTTTTTGGACCCAGAATCACTTTTCCAAATGACATCCTGTGAAGTAGATTAATCTGTAAAATAGGTAACCGTGAATTTGCTTTGGTGGAATTGGAGCTGGACTCCTGGATCTCATTCCAGCCTCATTTTTTCGTCCTGCAAGGGATTTGATTCTTGTGGTTGCAGAAAATCCTTTTGGCTCCTCAGAGCATAGCTTGAAGACTAGTTTCCTGAGATAATATGTGAAAGTATATATTTCATCATAAAGCTCTCTTAACACGTCAGGTTTTACTGTTGAGACTGATGCACTCGGGTGGAAGGAGATTCAAGCGTTGTCTGAATTCACTTAGTTGGTGGCAGAACCTAGACTGGAAACCAGGGCCCCACGTGCTCTGCTGGACCACATACCCACACGCTTCCTTCCACTGGCCTTTCTTTATCTATATTAATATCTAAATGGCTGGGTTATCACTTGGTGCACTTTTTTTATTTTTAGCTTCCGGTTAAGCATTATTGTATTTACATGTGATTTTTTGACATATTTTACTTTTAAAAATATAGTATTGAGGATTTTAAACTCTCCTATTATGAGAATATTTTCGTTTGTTTTAGTGAATTACAATAAAATGGGAAGATGTTGTTAGGCAGTAGAATTTCTTAATTAAGAGCCTAACTCTCTGTTTTTATCTTTTAGCTAATAGCATATATACGAAAACCTAAAATTAAGTATATTTTATATTTATATTTAATTGTATGTAATGTGCATGAAAAATGATTTAGGTACTAGCATATAGAAATACACATAGAAATAATAAAATAGCTTTACATTACTACATTAAGCTCATTAATTGCTTTCATATATATTATATCATTAATGCATAATACTCTGTAGTGTATTCATATGCATATATATGTATATACATATGATTTATGTATCCATACACTCTCATTTATGGGTTGTATGACATCCGGAAATATCCAGAAGCATCTTTTATGAAATCACAGAGTTGATAAATGTGAGAAGCAGTAGTTTAACTGTTTTCCTGATTTTCAGCCTAGTCAGAGCTGTTTTGTAAGGCCTTGAAGGTTATGTAGATTTTGCAGTGTCTCATTTACAAAGATGATTGTGTGAATGTTGTACCCAAGAACTAGGCAATGTACTGTCACCTCAGCTGCACATGATCCTTCCAATACCCTTCTCAATGTAACGCTCCTCCCTGTGTCTTCTTGGGGAAATAGACATGCGCATAACCAAGTGTAGTCGACGAGATGAGTGCTGCTCATGGCATAATCTCAGTGCTGTACTGTGGAGTCTGGAGGAGTTTCCATAGGGGATTACAGAAATCAGCATCATGAAAGAGTTGATCGTTACCTGGGGGAATTTAATATTTATATTAATTTCCAGAAATTATAAAAGCTGAGTTGTGTATTAAGAAATTAATTCAGTAACTGAATTGTTGCTAGGTTTAGGGCTTCCAGCTCAGAAGGGAGGACGAGAGCTTTCCTCATCTCCATTTCTCAGCCTACCTGGTTTTCTGACCATCTGGTTTTCATGTCTTAAACTGCTGC